ACTGATTTGGCTGGTCGCGCCACACCGACAGATAAACGGAACGTTGTTACACTTTTACCAAGTATATTATTATCCTATAAATGCACATGTAAGTATGGTATATAGTACGTATATCCTTGCCCAGGAATGCCAACACGCTACGACTTCGATGGCGTCATTGTGAGATACCTATCGGCCTGATAAATTGGCCGTTGCAACATAACCTTCACGCAAAAGAAAGATACCTACAAGCCAAAGGTGCTGACGGATTTGGAGCTCTCTAAATAAAAATGGAATGGTACAAACTTAGTTTGCCTCTTACTCAATACCCAATTCGGAAGCGATAGGTAGGCACATACAACGACGAAAAACATTATTTGCTAAATTATTGTTATTTGAAATCATACTTAGGTTTAATGATGTAGTAGACGCGACGAAGATACTGCAATGATTGATAAATAGCCCTCAGGACTACAAAATCTTTAAGAGGTTGCGTCTAAGTCACCTACCTACTTTATACGCACCAATTCATAAAAGAATAATATGAAAAATACGATATATGTAACGTGACCATCTATTTTTTTTACTCAAAACGGGACATCGGTTTATTTACGTCAATTAGCAAGTTATTAATGAAAAACAAAAAACACATTTTTTAATATTTTTCATCTAGAAAAGGTGAGACATTATTATAAATTGAAAATATGCAACATAATATTTATATTTGTCAGAGGAACAAATTCTTTTTAATATACGTAATGGTAATGCTTTTAAATAAAAATAAAATTCTTAGCATGTCTTTTTATATCCACCTTATAGTTATCAACATCGCCTTCATAACTGAAATCTCTAACTGGGTTTTTTCAGAAGTCCACAATTTGTTCATTTAAGAAAATACTCTTTCTACTGACGCATTTATTGCAGGCAAACAAAAAACATATTCAATTAAAATACAAAAGCTATGTTAAGTTTATGTTGAATATTGTTGGCGTGAATGTGTTCGAATACTTCCACACTACGAGTTTCTATGGAAACATTTAATTAATTTAATTAAGTTGAAAAGCCAAATTAACTGACACGTTGATCGAACCCCATAATTTTCGCGCGATCTCAGAAAACGGAACAATTATGTGTCCCGGAGAATTTTTTGGGAACAACGAGACCGATAATCGAAAAAAGGGATGGTCCCGTTCAAAACGGGACGCATGGTTACGTTGCATATAACCCATATGAGGTAAAGCATACAAATAAAAGTACCATTAAGGACGGTTCTTTAATGAGAGCAAGTGATTAGTTGCATCCCAAGATATTTTTAATCAAAATGAGTCAAGTGGCAGCTGAAAATGAGTGTTAAAGTTAAAGGTAACCTTAAGTATCTGTTCAACCCTTAACATGACATTGAAGGAGGGGAAAGTTGTATGTAGAAGGTTTTTAATGCCACAAAATACTTATCAATTAAGCAACTGTTTTGGTCTGCTCATGACAAAATTCAAAAATTAAATTTTTTATACTTTTCAGAAGATAGATCTCATGTAAACGACTCAAATAGTATTTTCCTTACTCTGAAATATCCAAGCGGTCTAGAGCCATTTTTAGATTCTTTATTGCCAGTTTTTTCGCTTCAACTTCCGACTTTAATGTAGTAAGAGCGTTATCAATTTGCGCCTTTTCTTTTTCCGTAAATGGTTGGTTGCTATTGCACGATTCTCTAAGTTTTAACCCAGGCACGATGAGCTTCACATTCTGAAGTGCATCGTCCTTTTCCCTTATAGATTTTCTTAAAGCTTCGACTTCACCGTCTTTTGAAATACTTGTACGAAAAAGGGAGCCACTTTTTTTTCGTCTGTGAGAATTCGACAGAGAAACCTCTATACTGGCCATCTGTAACAAATAGAAACTTTGAACGTATATTACACTATACTATACAGTACATAAGTAAACAAAGAAGAAGAAACTTTTTTAGATTGTATGTTATAGTAGTATTTTTTAATTAAACCATTGCATTAAACATCAAAAAAATACAATTTTATTTCGAGCGAACGAATGCGGAATATTGGTTTAGTTTTGTTAAATACTTTTACACGTCCACCATGCAGAACTGCAGAGAGGAATTACAAATTAAAACAAATACTAACGCATATGCTTCTTCATATAACATAGCTTCTGAAGCCTGTAAAAATTACTCCTTTTGGACATATCCACCAGGGGTCACACCTGACGCGTGACGCGTGACGTTACGCTTTTCGGTTTTATATCCCAGTAAATTTCTTTCCTACCGTCGATAAAGAAGTTTCATTTGAAGATTTAACGTGAATGTAATGTTAATGTGTACTAGTTATAAACAAAATCGGTTGATATGTCAATGTATTATCAAAACTACAATGTAATCGTCATTTTCGCCGATTTTAAACGGACAATTACATCAAATTAAACATTATCTCAATGGGAAAATTAATAAAATTAAATAAGTAAGTGGTGTGGGTGTGCCTCTATAATTTTACAAGGTAAATTACTTTTTACAAATAGGGGACTTCATCAGAATTTTGAGAATTCTTAGAAAGCATTATGTAAAAGTAATTTATTATTGTTGTTATTAACGTTTACATGATAGTATCGTATGTAAGTGCCTGTGTATGTGTATATGTTGTGCTTTCTTTGAGTAATAAATAACTGACTTACAATTAGTACCGCACACGTTGAAGAGTAATGAAGTCAATAATACCAGCAAAGTCATATATCATGGCAAAGAGCATTATCTTGTAGGTAGGCATAAATCGTAAGAGTTGTAAATCGGTTAAATTGCGAGAAAAGCGTACGTGCAATTTTACTGCACCGCACAAAGAGATTCTCANATGTACATAAATATGAGGATAATAACCTTACCGAAAGCCCCAACTGTCCCGGCAATAATGACCAGGACTACCTAGCGTAATTGTGTAACGCGGTATCAGTGTAAAACATATGCAATTGGCCTGTCTGCGTACCAGTTGCTACGAAGGTCATGAGTAGGTACCTGTGTTTCGTGCGCTAACGAAGGTCAATAAGTTAACGCGTCCATCAACCTGGCAAGGGTTCTCAATCACTGATAGCTCTTTAACTGCAGAGACACGCAAAAAATTAGGTTTAATTTTTATAATAATACATTTTTTAAATGACTGAAGTGAACAGTTCTCTGTCCCTGAAGAAGGTAACCTTGTTACCGAAAATTGCTTCGGACAACTACAGTGTTGTGTTTTAGTGTTGGGGTTTGAGCTACTTTGTTTGTTCTATGTGAATTATTAACTATGAAATAAGGAATTACAACTATTTTGTGTTTCTGCCTACAATATAGGTATCTCTGAAGAGACCTTCATACCTGAGAAGGTGTCCCACCAACCTATCTCGCCTACTTCTTACTGACTTCCATTGAATTCTCTGTTCTCCTATTCTTTCTGATACCTCTTCATTTCTAACCTTCTATACCTTCTGACCTTCTATATCCATGGTATCCTCATAATTCGCCACATTTGGAACGCTTCTAACCTTTTCTTTCTTCCTGCGCCCACTATCCATATTTTGCATCCGTACAACACCGCGCTCAAAATATACACCGTTCGCGAACATAGAAGTGACTTCTTTTTATTGAAAGCGACTCGACCCTACGCTATCCTCTGCTTTATATCCCTACTACTCCTTCCGTCTTGACTTATCTGACTTCCTAGATACCTAAAATCAGCCACTTCTTTTAATTTTTCGTTTCCTATCTGTAAATTCTCTCTTTCCCTACTTTTTCTTCCCTTGCATACCAGTATTTTTGTTTTACTTTTATTTATTTTCATAAAATACTCTTTTGTCAATACCACTACCATTTAATTTAAAGCTGTCTCTAACCTCTCCTTGCTAGATGCTAATACTGCTATATCATCTGCAAATCTAATCATACTAATCTTTTTCCTCTGTATATCTATCACTACAGTTGTACTGTCTTTAATGATGATGATCACGTCTTCAATGTATAGATTAAGCAATAGCGGTGGCAGTGTGCACTTCTGTCTGACTCGCTTCCTAATATTTACTTCTCTACGTTGCAGTTCCAGCTCTATAATTGTCTGTTGCTCTTTATAGAAACTAAGTATCACTCTTCTATCTCTGTAACTCATCCTCTGATTTTTACGTATATTTACCATCTTGTCCCATTTAACATTGTCTAAAGCTTTTTCTAAATCTGCAAAACCTATGTACGCAGAGCTTAGGATGATAATATTTCATTTTATTGTACTTTCTGTACAATACTTGGTAAAGAGATCATTTTGAAAACCTCATTATTTTTCTCTCATTTTTCACGAATTTCTACTTAAATTATTTGTCGAATTGATAAAGGTACATCTGAATTACATGCATTCAATTAATGTTCGATTTATTTTCCTTCATTGCCGAATATGACAAAGAATATATTATCTCACCTTTGCTTCCAATGTTTCCAACTGAGCCATCCTGGGCTGAAGAATAACCGCCTGCTGTAGAGTTGTCTGTAAAACAAATGTTTAGATTCACATTCAAGTTACAGTAATTTTTGGTAGTTTTCAACACATATGTGCATACGTACAAATATTATTAATGTCCTACCTTCTTGATAATTAATTCTTATATGTTTTTTTTGCATGTTTATTTTCTGTCTACCAAAAATCGTACAGGTCACACAGTAAAGCAAAAATGATAAATTATTTACCTATGTAGTTTTTCAAAAACTATTTTTTAAGAAATTAACTAATTGAAAAAATCCTTTAGTTTCAGTTGCATTTAACATTTAAAATACATCTATTTTGTATTTTACATTTGTAATAACAAATCGACAATGTATTTGCATTTTGTATTTAAATACTTTTAAAGACCATTTTGTACATCTCTAATGGTTAAGTTATTTCTTTGTGGTTTCGTTATTTTACAGAAGAACCACTAATGCTTTAAGACGTGTAAGGATAAGTGCTTCATACTAGTTTATTGCATTTCTGTAAAATGCAATTGCAAAAAGTGTAACGGCAAATTAAAAAAAAAGTTACAAATACCGATACGGATGCACGTAACTAAGCAAGACAATATGTACCTTCTTCTCAGTACTGTTAAATGGCGCTAATGGTTCACATAGAATTTCAAATGAAGAACGGGATAACACCATTTATATAAACCAGAAAATCTGTAAACTCTCAGAAAAAACTTGTAATTGTTTTTACAGTCTTCTTTGTTTTTACATATCAGCATATGTACAACAACAACAACTGTGTCTAATGCGTACGTAGGCCATTAGAAGTTGTGTGTAATTTCAGAAATATTTAGAAATTTCCCTTACAAATGAAAATTTTAAATTTTACCGTTATCGGCCACCCAGTGAAGAAAAGTAAAAACTAAATTCATATAAATATATGATAATGGTTATAGTACTGACCTTATCAAGCAAATGATAAATAAAAAACACAAAAAAGTATTATGTAACCAATTCTATCGTAATACAACAAATACAACTGCCAACAAATTCTGTTTTATTAATTATATACCTAAATTGAGTTTTAATATTCAAAATAGATTACAAAAACATAACATCAGACCAATATTAGTAAATAAAATGAATCTGGGTTCTCTATTAGTAAACAATAAGGAACGACAGGAAAACATTGAGAAAAGTGGTGTATACGAAATTAAATGTAAAGATTGTGATTCTATATATGTAGGTCAAACG